TTTCTTTTTAAAAAAAATATATTTTATTGATTTTTTACAGAGAGAAAGGGAGAGAGAGAGTTAGAAACATTGATGAGAGAGAAACATCGATCAGCTGCCTCCTGCACACTCCCCACTGGGTATTTGCCCGCAACCAAGGTACATGCCCTTGACCGGAATCGAACCTGGGACCCTTGAGTCCGCAGGCCGACGCTCTATCCACTGAGCCAAACCGGTTAGGGCCTCACTGAGGTTTCTTAATCTACGCCCTGGGCTGGCCCCCACATTGGCAGGGACTGGGGGGGCAGGAAGGGGTGGGGATGACAGAAGAAGCAGCATTTCCCTCTGGGGGTACACAGTCCAAGATATAGTTTCAAGCCCTAGCTGGTTTGGCTCAGCGGATAGAGCGTCAACCTGAGGACTAAAGGGTCGTGGGTTTGATTCTGGTCAAGGGCACGTACCTCCACTGCAGGCTCGATCCCCGGCCCTAGTTGGGGTGCATGCATGCAGGAGGCAACCAATCGATGTTTCTCTCTGTCTCTCCCCCTCCCTTCCACTCTCTCTAAAAATCAATGGGGGAAAAAAATTAATGGAAAAATATCCTCCGGTGAGGATTGAAAAAAAGCTAGCTTTAAGGGAGGCCAGCTGGACTCCACCTCAGGGCCTTTGCACTGGCTATTCCCTTTGCCTGAAATGCAGTTCCCTCAAGTAAACACACAAGTCCCTCCTTCTTTCCCTTCTGGTTTTTGCTCTAATATCAGCTTCTTGGAAAGGCTTTTGCTGACAACCGGTTTAAAAGTGCAACCTAGCCCCGGTTGGGTAGCTGAGTTGGTTAGAGCATTGTCCTGATACGCCAAGATTGCAGATTCGATTGGTCAGGACACACATAAGAATCAACCAATGCATGCAAGAACAAGTGGAACAAATCAATGTTCCTCTCTCTCTTTCTCTCTCTCTAAAAAAAAGTATTTTCAAAATAAAAATAAAATTGCAACCTATTCATCCTACACAGCTCAGTTTCAATTGACTGACAACCGTCTCCCTAGACCAGGGGTCCTCAAACTTTTTAAACAGGGGGCCAGTTCACTGTCCCTCAGACCGTTGGAGGGCCAGACTATAGTTTAAAAAAAAACAACTATGAACAAATTCCTATGCACACTGCACATATCTTATTTTGAAGTAAAAAAACAAAATGGGAACAAATACAATATTTGTATTTGCATGTGGCCCGCGGGCCGTAGTTTGAGGACCCCTGCCCTAGACACTCCAATCCCCTTTCCTTACTTTCTTTGTCTCAATGGCACAAAATATGCCTTTCCACTCATTTATCTTGTTTCATGTTCATCTCCCCCACCCGGCTGTCAGCGCCTGACGACAGAGATTTCTGTCTGCCCTGTTCATTGCTGTCTGTTCTATGCCCAAACAGTGCCTGATGCAAATGTTTGCTGAATAAATAGTCAAAAGCAAGAGATCTGGTGAACACACAATACAATATACAAATGATGTATTATAGAATTGTACACCTAAAACCTATATAATTTTATTAGCCAATGTCACCCCAATAAGTTCAATAAATTTTTTCCCCAAGGGTAGTTGGCAGCTTTATCATGTAAAATACTGACAATTAAATGTGACTTGAAAAAGCACCTAATATGTGACAGTAAAAATATGTAGATAATGACAGTATTGTTGTTTTTAATCCTCATCTGAGTACATGCTTAGAGAGAAGAAAATGAGAGAGGGAGAGGGAGGAAAAGAGAGAGAGAGAGAGAGAGAGACCCGGACATCAAACCCGCCACCCAGCTATGTGCCTTGACCTGGAATCAAACCAGCAACCTTTCGGTGCCCAGGACGACGCTTAACCAATTGAACCTCGCCGACTGGGCTGAATTGTATTGTTTAATCAATTAAATTCCTTGAATGTGAAGTTGCTCTGACATATGAAAACTATAAAAAATTTGCCTATTAAAAACAAAAAAAGAGATCAAGGTCCCCAAGAAAGTGAGTCCTCAGAAAATCAAGTGGTCACTGTAGCTGGGGAGAACAGATCTTCTGGAAGACGTGTTACTGGAGCCAAATTAGAAGGGATGGGAAGGGTGTGGGAGGCAACAGTTCTGGGAGCGGGCATTCCAGGTGGAGGAGCAGCTTAGGCAAAGGCATGGTGGCTGGAAAGCCTGAACAGGAGACCGTGAGGACATCATGACAGCAGGGGGCAGTAGAGAGGAAATAAAGGGGTAAACTGGCACCGGTGGGAGGTGAGGAACTACGGAAGAGTTTTGAACAGGGAGGACCCTGGTCCTACGGAAGCTGCCAGAAGAATGTGCTGGGCAGAGGATAATGGCCCAAAGGCCCAGTGGATCTTCAGCCAGGCTTTGGGGACAGCCACCGGAGGGTGGGGGACAGCATGCACCTCAGTGGCCTCAGACTTACCTCTGTCTTCTTAAATCGAGCCCGGAGAGTCTTCATGGCCAGCACACAAGGCTTCTCCTCAACCCAGGCCACCTGGGAAAGGACAGGGCGAAGGGGATCAGTCTTGGCGAGCAGGAGGGTCAGCAGCCTTCTGCTCCTCAGAAGGACCACTTCCTCCTCCCTGTGCCACCCTGGCCCCTTGAGCAGGACGCAGACATGCCCCATCTCCTAACTGCTGTGTGTCCTTCAGCTGGGCATTTGCCCTAAGTTTCACGTCTCTCACCCTTAAATTAAGGAAGATATCCGCTCTTGACCAACTCATGGTTAGTTTTCAGTGAGGCCTGTAGCATTGGATCAGCAAAGAGTAGGGGCTCAAAAACGCACTTCGCCACTATTTCCTGCGGCCCAAGAAGATCAGGTTTTTTCTGGTCTCCAAGCTTTTTAAATTAAGGAAGATATCCCCTCTTGACCAACTCATGGTTAGTTTTCATTGAGGCCTGTAGCATTGGGTCAGCAAACAGTAGGGGCTCCAAAATGCACTTCGCCACTATTTCCTGCAGCCCAAGAAGATCAGGTTTTTTCTGGTCTCCAAGCTTTTGACTGTGCAGTTATTTCTACCTAAAATGTTCCTTTCTTTATTCCTTCTCTGGTGAACTCCTATTCATCCGATGCAGCCCAGTTTCAAAATCCCATGTTCCGATTGATCAGTTTTGCCTCTCACCAGCAGGCAGAGCTCTAACTCACCAAATTTGGTTCCTTCAGCCCTGCCTGGGTCCCTTCTAACCCAGCCCTGGCTCCATAAGCTCGAAGTGTCTGGGCTAGTTCTATCATCCTGAATAGTTAGGGGCTCTTTGGGGGCCAGGCCCAGAGCTGAGGCTCTTAGCAGAGGCATGTTTCTTGGAGAGTCAGAGAGAACATTCTTGCAGCTAAGTCCCCTTTTACCAGCCTGGCTTCCGCACGAGTAAAAGCATGGAGGAAAGTCACCCACGGGGTGGGCGGGGGGGGGGAGGTCTGGGTCGATGGTTATGTGCATGCATATGCACACACAAGCATGAGGCATGTGTGTGCATGCATGCCTGTGCACCTTGGCCTGTTCTGTGTTCCATGCATGTGCAAGAATAGGCAGGTCAGACAGGTATGCCTCGAGGGGATGTTTTGCTAGATGTGGGGCTCAGGACCCCTTCCTATGTCCGAGATTTCTGTGAAGGTGTGTCTTTCACCTGCCCAGCTGCCCATGACTTCTCCAACCCATCCTTCTCCCCCCAGCCCTGCAACCCATGCTTAAATCCATCTACCCACTCACCTGTGCATCCATCTTCCTACCTCAGGACTTGTATATCTCCCCCACCAACTCACCCGCCCAACTCATCTTCTCGTGGTCCTTCATGCACCCTCCAACCATGCTTCATTCTCCATCCATTACCCACCCACCCATCCATCTATCCAGCCATCCACTCACCCACCCATCTACCTACCCACCCATGTATGCACTCACCTAAACATCCAAAACCCACCCACCCATCTACTCATTCATCCATCGTCCATCCACCCTACACTGACTTATCAACTTACCATCCAACCATCCATCCACCCTTCCATAAATCCATTCACTCTTCCATTCACCCACTCATCCATCTACTGCCCATCCGTTCATTCACCTCTTCAATTTACTCCATTCACTCAATGTACCCCTTTTGCTCACCACCCACCCCATCCTTTTTCTTTACCCCTGTCTGAAGGACTCAATCACACCCAGAGAAGAGTGTAATGAGACACCCACGAGAGGAGTCCACAGGTTGCTTGAGCAGGTGGGAATCTGTCGGCTTGGGGGAGGGGGAAGTGCCCTCGTCTAGGAAGCCGCTTCCCGAAGAGGCGATGATATAAAAACAGGGCCTGAAGGCCAGACAGGATACTAAGCAGCAAGAAAGGAGGGTACATACCCTAGACGGACTAAGGCTGAGAAGTGGGAGGTGCATGCACCCACAAGTGCGTGTCTGTCAGGGTGCCTGGGCAGTCCCTCCCTGTGGCTGGGATATATACCGGCCCCTCCTTTCTCCCACCTGCTAGGGCTCAGGGGCCAGGAACCTGAGGTCCTAACGGGGCCCCCATCCCAGGCCTCCCTTCTCTCCTTCCTCTCCTACCTTCTGCAGCTCCAGCGACTCCAGCACCAGGCCACTGTGTGCACTGCGGGCTCCGGTTACCCGCTCCCTGCTGGGCCACCAGCGAGCACCAGCAACACTGTGCACTCAGCTCTGACACCCGATCAGCTCTGAGCGGCAGCAGCCCCAGGGGGCCGGGGATGAGCTGAGGGAGGAGGCAGGTTGGCAGCGGGGCTGCCCGTTGGCCAGCGGGATCTAGTGGGAAGACACTGATGTTCTTCCCTATCATCACTGGCCCTAGTTCAGTTTCGGGAATGAGCTACTCTCTTCCTCTCCTCCCAGCCTTTGCACTTGCTGTTCCCCCTGCCAGGAGCGCTCTTTCTGTGCCCCATGTCACCCCCAACTGGATCCTTCTCCCCCTCTCACTCCTGCTCACTCTTCAGATCTTGGCTGTGACATCCCCTCCCCCAGGAAGCCTTTCGGGATGCCCCCGGCTGGGTCGGTGCCTCCTCTGAGTTTCCTCCTTGCACCTCAGTCACCTGTCACCACTGCCCGGGCACTGGTTTGTAGCCATCGTCAGCCACAAGGCGCCACTTCTGTTCCCGGTGCCTCCTTAGCACACAGGAGTAGGTGCTCAACGCGTGTGGCGGTTTTGCTTGTTTGTTTTGAGAGCACATTTATTAAAGCTGGGGACAGTGAAACAAGGAGGGGCTTAGCCTAGAAGAAGCAACAGCAGAGAACCTGGGGGTGGGGGTGGGAACTGCTTGTTATAGGAAGAACTGAGCCGCGGTGGGGCTGCTGTTGACTCACCAAGAAGTCACAGGGACAGGAGTGAGTGGAGGCAGAGCTGCTGTGGGCTCACTGAAAAGTCAGAGGAAGGGGGCCTTGGAGACAGGTTCAGGCGTGAGCCTGGGATGAGCTGCCGCTGCCCACGGCTTCCCTGGTTGCAAGTCTCTGGGACCCTTAGAACTTGGGGGAGGGGGGGGAGCAGGACTGAGAAAGAAATGGGGAGCAAGGGTGGGCAGGCTCCAGAGGGGCCGCTCGGGACGTGCTTCTTCAATGCGCCCTAAAGGCCGCCTTCTCCGCCTCCGGTGCCCACGGGACCATCCTGCCGAGCGGTCATCACCCACCTGAACAGTCAGGTAACAGTGCCACCCAGAGTTCTCTCTAGTGAGACTCCCCGCCTTACATACACTTCGCTTGTAACTTTATAAACTTCTGAAATGCGCGGCGGGAAGCACCTTGGGCTGGAAGTCCGAGTCCCAGGACCCTTCTCTGTGACTGCATCCTCCGCAGGGTGGGGGCGGAGGCGGGGCATCAGTTTACTAATTTATGAAAAGGCGCAATGGCTGTGTCCCTCGTACCAGCGGCGACTGAGAACACTCACGCGGGCGGCCGCCCCGCGCCCCGCGGGAGTGTGTGTGGGAAATGCTTTGGACAACGCTGGAGTCTTATTCAACACCGTCAAGTTCATTCAGGAAAAAATCCTTTTGAGTGTAGTGCATGTGGGAAGTCTTTTAACCGCAAATCCCAACTTATCAGACACAAGACTGTTCACACTGGAGAAAAGCCATATGCATGTTGTGTCCGTGGAGATTCTTTTAGCCTAAGTTCTGCCCTCATTCAACACCAGAAAGTTCACACTGGAGAAAAGCCATATGAGTGCAGTGTGTGTGGGAAATGCTTTGGACAACGCTGGAGTCTTATTCAACACCGTCAAGTTCATTCAGGAAAAAATCCTTTTGAGTGTAGTGCATGTGGGAAGTCTTTTAACCGCAAATCCCAACTTATCAGACACAAGACTGTTCATACTGGAGAAAAGCCATATGCATGTTGTGTCCGTGGAGATTCTTTTAGCCTAAGTTCTGCCCTCATTCAAAGCCAGAAAGTTCACACTGGAGAAAAGCCATATGAGTGCAGTGTGTGCGGGAAATGCTTTAGACAGCGCAGCAGTCTTAGTCAACACCTTCGTGTTCATTCTGGAAAAAATCCTTTGGAGTGTAGTGAATGTGGGAAATCTTTTAACCTGAAATCTCAACTTATTAGACACAAGCGTGTTCACACTTTAGAAAAATTGTAGGAGTGTAATGAATATGGAAAATCCTTAAGCCAAAATTCTGCCCTCATTCAACAGCAGAGAGTATACAGTGGAGAAAAGCCACTACATATGAGTGTAGTTATTGTGGGAAGTCCTTAAACCAAAGATCTGCACTCACTCAACAGGTCACACTGGAGAAAAGCTGAATTAGTGTAGTGATTGTTGGAAGGCTCTCAGAGCTCTAAGCTAAGTGAACCCCACAGTGGCTACACTGGAGAAAGGCCTTATGAATGTAGTGAATCCAAAGTTTTTTAGACAAAGTTCTAGTCTTTTCCAACACCACAGAGTTCACAGTAGATAAAAGCCTTATGAGTGAAGTGAATGGGGGAACCATTTTGGACAATTTTTTTTGGTTAATCCTCACCCAAGGATATTTTTTCCATTGCTTTTCAGAGAGGGTGGAAGGCGAGGAGGGAGGGAGAGAGAGAGAAACATCAGTGTGAAAGGGAAACATCGACTGGTTGCCTCCTGCACATACTCCCACTGGATTGGTGGTGGGGATGAAACCCACGGCTCTTTAATATGCAGATTGATGATCTAATCACTGAGCAACACTGTACGAGACTGGACAATTTTCTAAATTATGGTTTTACAAAGGAAGTAGAAAGACACATTGATTTATTGTCCACTTGTTTATGCATTCATTATTTGACCCCTTTATGTGCCCAGATTGAAGATCAAAATCACAACTTTGGTGTATCAAAATAACGTTTTTATCAACTGAACGATGCAGTCAGGGCTGGACAAATCTTTTTTTTTTTTCTTTTAATCCTCACCCGAGGATATTTTTCCATTGATTTTTAGAGAGAGGGAAGGACAGAAACATCGATGTGAGAGAAACACATCAATTGGGTGCCTCCTGCATGAGCCCTGACCAGGGCCTGGGCCAGGGAGGAGCCCTGCAACCAAGGTACATGCCCTTGACCGGAATCGAACCCGGGACCCTTTGATTCGCAGACCAACGCTCTATCCACTGAACCAGACTGGCTAGGGTTGTCCTTTGTGTTTGTTAACCTCACCTGAGGATTTTTCTTCCCACTGAATTTTAGAGAGAGTGGAGGGGATGGGGAGAGACAGAGAGAGAAACATCGATGTGAGAGAGACACATAGATTGTTTGCTTCCAGCAGGTGCCCTGACTGGGGTTGGGGATCGAGCCTGCAACCAAGGTATGAGCCTTTAATCGGAATCCAACCTGAGACCCTTCAGTCTGTGGCCGGCGCTCTAACCACTGAGCACAGCTAGGGCAGTATTTGTCCTTTTGTGTCTGGCTTCTTTCACTCAAAACAATGTCCTCAAGGTTCATTCACCTTGTAGCGTGTGTCAGAATTATGTTTATCCATTCATTCATCAATGGATACTTGGGTTGCTTCTATGTTTTAGCTATTGTAAGTAATGCTACTGTGAACCTAAGTGTATAAATGAGGTGTCTTCTGAACCAAGACCTAAAGGAGGTGAGGGAGGCTAGGAAAAGAGTATTTTGGGCCACAGGGAGGACTTGGGCTTTGGCCCGAGGAAGGTGGGAGCCCTGGAGGGCTGTGGGCAGAGGAGGGACATGATGACAAGCTGCCTTTTCGGATTCACTCTCGTCGAAGCTGGGGCAGCTCAGTCTGTGGCTAGTGGCTTTGCAACTGGGACAGGTTTTGATCACATCACTGCCCTTTGCTCTCTCGCACAACAGATCTTCGACCCCCCTGAGGAGTTGGAGCGGAAGGTGTGGGAGCTGGCAAAGCTGGTTTGGCAGTCTTCCCATGTGGTGTTCCACACGGGCGCTGGCATCAGCACCGCCTCGGGCATCCCTGACTTCAGGTCTGTAGGTGTGGAGGGGCAGTCAAGGCAGGACCTGCTAGCTGCTGAGGGCTTCCCTGTGAGCCACAGATACCCAGGCATCGGAATCCATCCTGCTGCCTTCCCCTCGCTGACCCTCCATCCCCTGGGTATTTGGAATGGGAAAGACCCCTCCCCTTCAGACTTGTCCCTTTAAATCACACCCAGCATTTCACTCACCCCAAAACTTGGTCACCTGTCCATTCCTGGCTACAAGGGATGCGGGCTCACTGTGCATAGCTAAAGATCAGGCTACTATTACCCAGAAAACAGGGCGATTCATATCAGGGTCAGTTAGCTCCACACTCGCAAATATTTTTCTATCAGACCTGGTACCGGGCAAGGGGCTTAACCATTTGGACCTCAGTTTCCTCACCCATAACTGAGGGTGTGAAATCTGATAAATCACCCACACTCCAGGCAGCCTGTGTGACAAGAATTTTGTAGCTGAAAAGCAAGGTTCTCAACCTGGTGGCCCCCGAATTGCTCCTGTAGTTGCTGAGTTCGCAACCCTGCCCCAAAGGGCAGGCCTATTGCATTTATACTGTTTTTCAAGTTCCTGGGCCAGTAGCAGAAGAGCAGATTCCTTGGAGGAATGTTAGAATTCTAAGGCATGAATTCCCCGCCCCCTCCTCCATAACCTGCCATGGCTCCCCATTGCTCCACAGGAGAGTTCCAAGTCCTTCCCCACCCAGCCCTAGGTTATCTCCTCAACCTCCCGCTCCCGTTGTAGCCCCCAGACCACTTGCATTTCCCCAAACGCACAGGCTGTTGCCAGCACCCCAGGCCTTTGCTTACCCTTCTGCCTGAACTGCCCCGCCTTCCCTCTTACAGTGTAAGAGACAGCTCAGCCTCCTCCAGGAAGCCTTTCCATAGTCCTCACACAGCCCTCACTGCCTCCACCGGGCCAGCCCAGACCTCAGGGCTGAAGGGTCTGTGCCCACAGTGTCTCCCCTGACAAGATCAAGGACTCCTTGGGCAGGGCCTGGTTCCGCTAGGTCCCCAGCATCACCCAGCACAGGGCCAGGCTCAGTGCAGCGACAGTAACTTGGTTGAATTGAATAATTAATTTTTGCCCTTGGTGTACACTATTCTCTCTTCTTCCTCCTCTTCCTCCCTCTCAATCTCTCTTTCCCCCACTTTCCAAACCCTTTGTCTCATTCTCTCTCTCTGTCTTTCTCTGTCTATCTTCAATTCTCTGTCTCTCTTTTTTAAAAAATCCTCACTGGAGGATATGTTTTTATTGATTCTTAGAGAAAGAGAGAAAAACATAGATCAGTTGCCTCCCGTATGCTCCCTGAATGGGGATTGAACCCACAACCTAGGTATGTGCCCTGACCAGGAATCAAACCTACAACCATTTAGTGTACGGGAAGATGCTCCAACCAACTAAGCCACCCAGCCAGGGCTGTCTGTCTCTCTTTTTTTAAAAAATTGATTTCAGAGAGAGGAAGGAGGAGAGAGAAAGAGGTAGCAACATCAATGATGAGAAAGAATCATTGATTGGCTCCCTCCTGTACATCCCTTACTGGGGATCGAGCCCGCAACCCAGGCATGTGCCCTGACTATCAAACTGTCACCTCCTAGTTCAGTGATGGCGAACCTTTTGAGCTCGGCGTGTCAGCATTTTGAAAAACCCTAACTTAACTCTGGTGCCGTGTCACATATAGAAATTTTTTGGTATTTGCAACCATAGTAAAACAAAGATTTATATTTTTGATATTTATTTTATATATTTAAATGCCATTTAACAAAGAAAAATCAACCAAAAAAATGAGTTCGCATGTCACCTCTGACGGGCGTGTCAGAGGTTCGCCATCACTGTCCTAGTTCATGGGTCAACGCTCACTACTGAGCCACACCGGCCAGGCTGTCTGTCTCTTTTTATGTCCCCCCCTCGCTCTGATCCCTAAACTCTTTGTCTGCATCTCTCCCCACATGCCACCTTCAGAGGCCCCCATGGCGTCTGGACGATGGAGGAGCGGGGCCTGGCTCCCAAGTTCGACACCACCTTCGAGAGCGCACGGCCCACACAGACCCACATGGCGCTGGTGCAGCTGGAGCGCGTGGGCCTTCTCCGCTTCCTGGTCAGCCAGAACGTGGATGGGCTGCACGTGCGCTCTGGCTTTCCTAGGTAACACCCGCTCCCTCTCTCTGGACTTCGTTTCCTTATTTGCAGAACAGAGGTTGATGGCAGCCCTCCCTCGGGAGGGCGATGTGGCCACAGGGGACAGCACTTGACACTGAATAGGACTTCCCCCACCAGAGCTGTCATTGTCAGTGCTTCCTGGGCACATCTCAAGAATTCGGTCCCCTTTTTTCAGGTCCCAGGGTGGCTGCAATCTCCCTTGAGGTGGGGAGGAGGGTGGTCAGGGTCTAGGATTTACAGTTGCATCTTATTTATTTTTTATTTTATTTTATTTTTTTAAAATATGTTTTATTGATTTTTTACAGAGAGGAAGGGAGAGGGATAGAGAGTTAGAAACATCGATGAGAGAGAAACATCGATCAGCTGCCTCCTGCACATCTCCTACTGGGGATGTGCCCGCAACCAAGGTACATGCCCTTGGCCGGAATCGAACCTGGGACCTTTCAGTCCGCAGGCCAACGCTCTATCCACTGAGCCAAACCGGTTTCGGCTACAGTTGCATTTTAATATTCGTCTTTATAACTTTTACTCTGAATGTGAACATTGGTTTGGGGCAGAAAGGTTGATTCCTTAATGCCAAGTGTGTCGCCCTCCCTACCCACTTTCCCTGATCTTACCTTTGGGGACAACAAGAGCCCCAGTTAGTTCATACAAGTAGCCAGAAGTAGCCAGGCCCTCCAGGCAAGCGGGGAGGGAAAGGCTTGGGGACAACGAGAGCCCCAGTTAGTTCATACAAGTAGCCAGGCCCTCCAGGCAAGCGGGGAGGGAAAGGACTTGTCTCTGCTTGCAAAGGAGACTGAGGCAGCCGTCCTCTGCACTTCTGAAATGGGCCGAGTCCTAACTCCAGGCTTCAGGCACAAATAAAATTTCTCCAGGAGTCAGACAGCTCTTCTGACCTAGAAATGTCTCCAAGTTCTGGGCCTTCATCCATTTCAACATGTAAATACCTGAGAAAGGAAGACCCCAGCCTTCCTGGCTGGGTGACCCTGGGGCCCTATTTGAGCTGTAACTGCTGGGCACCTTATTGTCCCTCCAAGCAGAGTAATTCACTAGGTAGGTGGCTGCAGACCTAGCCCTTATGGCCTGTGTAGACGTTTCTAGAAATAAAAGCAAACGTATAGCAAATACATTCCTGTGGCACGGGTGTTTAGGGCTTCTACAAAAACACAGAAGTCCCGCTCCCTACACCTGGGCAGCGTTGAGCTGGGGTGTGTAGGTGGATGTGACAAAGCCACCCAGAGATAGAGGGGAGCCGCTGGGGGGAGGGGACAGGAGTGTATCTGGGGATTTCAGTGCCTTCAGTTTCCTGACTGATGGGTTTTTGGTCAGCTCCCTCGCCTTCACCCAGGCCACTCCCAGCACGCACTGCCCACTGCTCAGTGACACCAGTCTCTGTGTGCAAACTGGAGAGATACCAATCCCCCAGCACCACCTGGGTACAGGTAGGAGCAAAATGGGCCACACTCCACAACTATTTATTGAGCACCTACTGCATGCCATCTCAGTTCTAGAGGCAGGACATAGCATACCAGACAGACAGAAAGCCCTGCCCTCCTGGCTTATGCTATAGTGGGAAGGAAACAGGCAGCAAACAAGATAAATAAGCATACGTATTAAATTCTATGTTCGACGGTGATCATTGCCACAGAAGAAAAAGAGAGGGTTGTGCAGGGAGGACTGTGTGGGGAATTGCAACTTTTAACAGGGAGGTCAGGGTGGCTATGACATTTGAGTAGGGACATGAAGGAGGTGACAGAGGGAGCCATAGAAAAGAGCCTTCCAGGCCTAATAATTGTTCCCTCAAACATCCTAAGAGTTGGACACTGTCATCCTATTTCACAGATGGGGATTCAGGCACAGAGAGGTTAGGTGACCTGCCCAAGGTCACACAGCAGGGAAGCAACAGTGCTAAGAGTTGATTTCATATTCCTCTGTGTCAGAGCACATGCTCCAGAGCCACCTATCACCTCAATTTCTTCCTTTGCAAACTGGGAATTAGAATTCCCATCCTTCAGACCTGGTGACAGTGGGAGGTTCCACCACCCTTATGGGTGGATTTTGTTAATAGAATGGGCTGCCCAGGTATGGAGGTGGGGTAAGCTGTGAAGTTAATGATTCCTTGGGCTCCGAGAGGTTGGGCCAGCTGCCTGGGGTTGCACACCCGGAGAAACCAGAAGGAGGGAGTCCATGGATCCTGTGGATGAGGGTTTAGGTAAGGCTTCCTGGAGGAGGAGGACTGGGCACCAGACCCAAAGCCTTAGGATTCAGGGAGCCCAGGCACCACCAAACCTCTTCTCCTCCCACAGGGACAAGCTGGCAGAGCTTCATGGGAACATGTTTGTAGAAGAATGTGTCAAGTGTAAAAGGTGAGTGTCACAAGGGCGGGGGGGGCAGGCAAGGTATGGTGACCCAGGCCCATTTTTTGTCCCTTCCAGGTTGGGCTCTGCAAAAGGGCCTTATGAGTTGAATCTGAGACCAAGAGACCCAGGGTGGGGGGACAGGACTGGGGTGTGACCCTGGGGGTGTGGGGCAGCAGGGCACATCTTCCTCCTGGGGAGGTGTATTCATTTCCTGTGGCTGCCACACGTAATCACAAACCAAGTGGTTTAACACAACAGAAATGTGTGTCCTCGCAGTTCCGGAAGCTAGAAGTCCAAAATCCAGGTGTTGGCAGGGCCATGCTCCCTCTGAAACCCGCAGGGGGATCCTTCTGACCGCTCTGGCTTCTGGTGGTTTCTGACCTCCTGGGCGTCCCTTGGCTGTAGATGCAGCACTCCAGCCTCTGCCTCTGTTGTCACATGCCCGTCTCCTCTGTGTCTCCTTTCTTACAAGGATACTAGTGTGGGACCAGGGCCACACTACTCCAGTGTGACCTCATCTTAACTCATGACCTCTGCGGCCACCCTCTTTCCAAATATGGTCACATTCTAAAGTACCGGGATCAGGACTCCTACATATCATATGGGGCACACAATTCAACCCATAACAGGGTTGTGGGCTGACGGGTGTGACCCCGGGTCCGAGAAGGCTGAGCCAGAGCCCTTCCTGGAATAAGTGGGCTGTGGGCGTGTCTTCCTCTGTGGGGGAGCCTCACAGATATGGATAACTGTGGGTGTCAGTGGCAGGAGCGTGACCCTGCCCACCTCCTGTAGGTGGGCTCTTGGGAACTGGGGCACAAGTGAGACCCCCCTTCCCACACTTACACTTGGTATAAAAATTTTTTTCCTCCATATTTGAAGAATGTTCAAACCAATGGAAAACGCATAAGAATGTATGATGAACTCATACTTAACCTAGACCAGCAGTTAAACATTCCCGTAAAGGGCCAGATGGTAAATATTTTCAGCTTTGTGGGCCAGACTGTTTTTCTCATGACCATCGGCTCCGCTGTTGTAGTGCAAAAGCCACCATAAATGACACATAAAGGAATCGGCATGGCCATGTGCCAATAAAACTTTATTTATAAAAACATAACAGGAGGGCCAGATTTGATCCCTGGGGCCATAGTTTGCTGACCCCTGAATAGATTCCCAATATTACTGTTTTGCCACAATTTGTCTTCCCTTCTCTGTTACCAGGATTTGCTGTGCTGTTCAAGAATAAGTGGCAGGCTTCCTTATCCTTTGCCCCAAAACCCTTAAGACATTTATCTCCCTCAAGCTTCAGTATCCTCTTCCCCAGCCACAGGGTAGTTGTTAAAGTTGGGAAATGTAAAAACCACGTAACACGATGATTCCATCTCCAATTAATATTCCCCGTGCTCCCATCATTGCTATTTTTCTCCTCGTCCAAGGTCCAAGCCAGGTCACACTCTGCATGTCACTGTCACTTCTCTTTAGTCTCCTTTGTCTAGAACAGTTCCTGGCCTTTCTCTGTTTCCCATGCTGTTGATGTTGCAAAGCAGCTGTTTCATGGAACTCTCCCTCCCCGCCCCTCCTCTGGGCATGTTTGATGTTTCCCTGTGCTTAGATTCTAGTCATGTAGCCCCTACTTCCCTGGGAGAACAAGGACCACTGGGTGGGGCCCTAAGGTGGGAAGGTGGTGGGCTTGACCAGGCCCCACCATCCCTCTTTCCTTCTCCAATGTAGGCAATATGTCCGGGACACTGTGGTGGGCACCATGGGCCTCAAAGCCACTGGCCGGCTCTGCACCATGGCCAAGGCAAGGGGCCTGCGGGCCTGCAGGTGAGTGACCCCTGTCCATGCCTTGGGCTCCCAGGGAGGCGGCAAGTCTCCATACTGACTCCCCCAAACCCTCACCATCGCAGGGGGAAGCTGAGAGACACCATCCTGGACTGGGAGGATGCTCTGCCCAAACGGGACCTCACTCTTGCTGATGAAGCCAGCAGGTCAGACCCCCAGATGAGCCCAGGGTGGGGCAGGCAGAGAGAGGGGCAAAAGCACAACCAGCTTCAGCACAGGGCAAGGAGCTCCAGCTCAGAGGTGGAGTCAGGAGAGGCTTCCTGGAGGAGGCGGCTTGAACCCTATTTGGGCATTGATTTTCCCTAATAATGGCAGCTGCTAGGTACTAGCCCTCTTACATACCTGACCCTGGGCCAGGGGCTTCATAGACACGGTACTCACCACAGCCCAGGGGGTTCTACACTGGGCCCATTTTACAGGCAAGGAAACTGAGACTTTAGCAAGGTGACTCCTCTGTCCAGTGCTACCCAGCCAGGATTCAACTCAGGAGTCCAAGTGTGGAGGTCCCGCCCACATCAGCAACTCCCCTCTGCCAGCAGTGGGAGGGAAGCTCGGCCTCCCCGGGTGCACCTGGGCATGTTGCCGTAGAGTTTGAGACCCCCACCCCCAAGGGTGAGGCCAGAGGAGGGCTGCAGAAACCCTTGTAGAGAGGTCAGCCTAACCCCGCCTCCCGGCCCCAGGATCGCGGACCTGTCTGTCACACTAGGCACCTCCCTCCAAATCGGGCCCAGCGGGAACCTGCCGCTGGCCACCAAGCGCCGTGGAGGCAGGCTGGTCATCGTCAACCTCCAGCCCACCAAGCACGTATGTGTTGAGCCCGCCCCTGACCTTTCCCCCAGCCCAGGACCCGATGCACCCTCTGCCTCCGCTCACGCGTCCTTGCCCCCGCAGGACCGCCAGGCTGACCTCCGCATCCACGGCTACGTAGACGAGGTCATGACCCAGCTCATGAAACACCTGGGCCTGGAGATCCCCGCCTGGGACGGGCCCCGCGTGGTGGAGAGGGCGCTGACGCTCGCATCCACGGCTACGTAGACGAGGTCATGACCCGGCTCATGAAACACCTGGGCCTGGAGATCCCTGCCTGGGACGGGCCCCGCGTGGTGGAGAGGGCGCTGACGC